AGAGAGCAAGGATCTTCTTTAAGTTATGTAAGATGCCATCGAGATGGTTTAGCATAGGTATTTGCAAGTGTTCCATGCCTCTTGAGATGTACGTGATTAGGCAATGAATGAAAGTAAGGTTGGAGAATTGAAGTCAATAATAACACTAAGATTAAGTTGGTCCTGACAGATCTATAGTGAGTATAAAAGATTAGAAATATTTTCACCACTAGCAGTGTTTATAGTTTTTATTCCATGGCACTCAAAATTCCTAGTTATTGCTTTCCCAGTTTATGGGAAAATAATATTTATTGTTTCCTTAATTTAATATCCTAGTTATTGTTTTCCTAATTTGATGAGAAAATAATATTTATTGCTTTTTTAATGTAATTTCTTATTTATTACTTTCGCAATTGGGATGAAAATACAGTAATGTAAGTTGTCATTTAATGGAGTAATGAGAAAAAAGAAGGGAGTTTTTCTTTGGTTGTTAATTTAATTTTCTTTCGATTACCATTGGTGAGTCTTCCAACACTGTAAAGTGATTTTACATTAGTCATCTCTTGAGATCAATGAGATAGTGAATTAAGAGAACAACGCCAAGAAGCCAAACTTCTTTGATCGCCATCTCAGTTAAAAATGAGAAGATCTCCCTGTCCAAAAATGCTAGGTTGGAGCTTATGTACAAACACTGATTAAGGTTAATGAACAAGGAAGCGTTGTGAACTATACCAGTTGTTGTGGTGTATATATATATATATATATATATAAACAGGAGAACAATATTTGAAGCGAAAAATAGAACGAGAAAATTTACACCAGAAAACAGCAACACAACGAAACACACAGATTTACATGGTTCGACAAATTGCCTACGTCCACGGAGTTGCAGAGGATTTTACTAGAGTAATTTACACCAGTCGATCGTCTCGACTTACAAGAGGAATCTCTCGCTTCGTTGCTCACTCTTCTTCTCTCTCTACACCAAGATATACTGAAGAAACTTTATAACGAGATACACCGAAGAAGATAAACTTAGAAGAGAAATAAAACCAGTTTCTCTTCTGCCACAAGCCACCAAGAAGAAGCCAAGGGAGAACAATCTTCTTATTCTTCTTTCTTCTTCCTTCTGCAGCAAGGAACTACTGCTTGCACTCTCCTTCCTCTATCTTGAGGAAGCCCGAAGAAGAACACAAAAAAAATTGTGACTTAATCTGAAGGAGAACCTGCTCTCTTGATTTTTTTCCTCTTCTGTTCGCATCTTAAAAGAGGCGAGGGGCAAGGTCGTTTCACGATCCTGGAGGCGGGAGCTGCGGTTTTCGCGAAACAGTGAAGAATCACGACTTTTCGCGATATGAGCGAGAGGTGAGAACAGTTCCTATTGGGCTCCACACAAACAAATCTCTCACTTAGAGACCGATACACTGACTTCAATGTCTTGTCTTCCTGCTCAAATTGATATATCCTCCACTGGCGGTGTCGCCTTTTTCTTCAAATGTGAATCCTCCACCTTTGCAACTCAAAGCCTTTGTCTTCACTCCAGAAGACCAACTGAAGCTGCGCACAACTTCAGTTTCTCAAGAATAATACCCTCAGTCAACATATCAACAGAGTCCACATAAATTTGCACCTCCAAGCTATTTCTTGAATTACTCTTGTCTCTGCTTACAACTCTCATTGTATGGGCAATATCCTGTCTCTGCTGAAAGCCTTTTTCAACAAGTCTAGCCTTGTACCTATTACTGACATCATGCTCAGACTTCATCTGGTACACCTACTTGTTGTGTAATGTCTTCTTCCCTGTGGAAGTTCTGCCAACTCCCACTTGCTCGAACTTTCATCTTGCAAGGTTTCTTCATTGCTTTGTGGTTCTCCACCATTTGTTTATGGAACAATAGGAATGAGTGTCCCGAACCCACTCTCTTCTTCACTTTCATCATCAACAAAACTATGAACTGCTAGCAATAGTGCATCATGTACTTCTTCAGATACCATATTTGTGCTATCATTCTTCATTTTCTTAAGATTCTTGCAGTTTCTCTTTATGTAGCTAGCCTTACTACAATTCCAGCAGATTGCCTGTTGATCAGACTTTAATTTTGATCTCCCTTTATTTGAGTTTTTGGAGTTTCTTTCTTGTCATCTCCCTCTGAAATCAACATTCAGTGTCGAACTCGTACCCGAGATATCGCCAGAATCTTTCATGTGCACCTCCTCAACCAAAATTAAATCACGAATATCATCACATTTCAGTTTAGATTTTCCTACATAACTGATAACTGTCATCCTCATGACTTCCTGTCGGCACTATTTTTGGTATGGGGTTTGC